CGGCTCTAAAGATCAAATTCGAAGTTCCCAGTCATACCCGGCTAAACTTTGGCGCTGCCACAAAGGGTGTTGGACCTCGAAAGGCAAAGACCTTGTCCAAGATATTCGTCCCCTCAGAAGCTTGAGCCTACACTTGGGCCCTTAGCTCCCCACAAGCCGCTCTGACAAAGTTGACGTCGCCCTTAAGGTACTTCGAAACCTTTACTTTTTCTACAGTTGATATAAAGGGGGGGTTAGCTCTAAGGGCAGAATGTGGCGGAGCGCGTACTACAGGAAGCTACCTGCTCCACCTAATAGCCCCATAGTTTGGGCTCGTCGCCCAGGAATCAAGGGCTCCGGAAACACCCACCTCAATCGATGCATTCCCCTCGGAGGCGTAAAATGGACTCGCCTAGATAAAAGGCTCTGTCACATCACACATCTCCCTATCATCATTGCCCGCCTAAAAAACTACGACCCCCCGGAGGAGGGGCACGTCTACACTCCCAAAAGACCATCCGACACCAACAACACCCACGACGGAGAAAGGAAAGGACGGCTGCTGAATTTGCCATCATTATAGATAAAGCCCGCAAAGCGCAGGCCGTACCGCCTAAAAGACATCCTTTCACCCATTCAAACAACTGACAAAGGTTTTGAAGGTGTGGCACCAATACCTGGGAGGAACGATTCATACGAGCCCAGTCTCTACCTTCCCCAAATAAAGTAGCTATTAAAGGTAGATTCCGATGACCCCCAAGGAAGTGAAAGCAGCATCACATCGCATGTAAGAAGAACGACGACAAATTCAAAAACTACCAAAGGCACTAACCATCAGCATCGCACCCGGCACTGGTGTGACAGCCAATCCCCGAAGCCTCCATCATGTTAATATAAAGCCCCAAAAGTCCAACAACGCCTTCGCCAACACAAGATCAACACACAAAGGCCTCCGCCAAAGGAAGCCTGCCAGCAAATACAGTTGTATCTTAAACTTACGCTCATACGGAATAATCCCCCGATATCAATCTAGATGATCCTAATGCAGGCAGATCTCTACTCGAAAACTGCGTTCGAGAAGCAACCATCGACACCCCTAAAAATCCGCCAGCCCTCGGTCAAGCCTCGCCTCAAAAACCACTATGAAGAACAAAAACACCACCCACGTCTTCACGATAAAGGTCCGGCGGCCCAATGTTACTGGTCTTATTTTGGGTCGGGACATGAGAAACCCTACGTGGAGCCAGTTTATCAATCAAAAGCTCCACAAAGCACCCAAATACAAGCAAACTCAGTCAATCCTGTACATTCTAAAAAGGGTTATTATTCGCGGCAAACTCAACCTTACGCAACGGTAGGAAGAGCGGGCGCTAAGACTTTTACCTGAATAGTGGTATCGGGGTCAATTTCCACAGGGAGCTTGGAATGGAGTTGCGTATTTTGTTCAGACTAGGAATGCGTGTTTGCTCCTAATTGTACTTCTATCATTTTTTGGGTCGATTCCTAATTGTATCAACTACAAGTTTAAGCTAATTTATGCTAAAGGGAGATGTTCTAAGTTATGATTAATATAGAAAAAGGTACTAGGGTCGTGGCATCACCTAGGTGGTTAACTAACGGGTAGAGACTACTAATAATAGATTGACATATTTGGGATCAATGTTATAACCGTTGCACAATTATACCCACTCTCACACCTCTCGGTAGAGAGAGCGATTTTGCCTAATTGACTCTTTCGAGACCAATTAGGTAGGCCAATTAGACCAAGCAACTAGGGTTCAAGTAGGGTGATTACTCTCTCGAAGTTTAACTCGTTAATTAGAACTACCATTTCTCATGGGTCCACCCCAATTCCTTGTTTGGTCAATTTTGGGGTCATAGACTCTCTTTCTCAAGAAGAGTCAAGACTCACTAAGCTAGAATCAATGTTTGCAACCAACAATCCTTAATTAAACCATAAAATTAACCCAAATAACAAACACCCAATATCAATCTATCATTAAGAAGCTACACCCATTAATTACCCACACTAGGGTTGAGCCATAACCCTAGCTAATGGGTTTAGCTAGACATAGCTAAAGAAGAAAATGAAGAAATAGAAGATTAAACAACCATATCAATTAATTGCTAATGTTAAACTACAATAATCTATGATGAAACTAAGCTAAAAATGCCCAAGATAGGCCAAAACATAAGTCTCACGAGTGCAGCAGCTATCAGATGTACCCAGCTTAACCTAAAAATGGTAAAATATTCTATATATAGTGGACTGGAAAAACTGGACAAAACTGCCCCTGCGGGGGTAGTGCGGACCGCACAAAGTTGGAATGCGATCGCATGAAAACTGGTGATCATGAATAGTTTTGGCAGCTTCTCTGAACTTCACTGATGCGGGCCGTATGACCATAGAGTGCGGCCGCATGGAGAGGGCCGCGGGCCGCATGAAGTCGGACGCGACTGCGTGGTTTGCTTCTGGAGTATGACACTCTCTGAACTTCTTGGACGCGACCGCATAGCAAGATTGTGCGGCCGCATGAGTGAGATGCGGGCCGCATAAAGTGGGACGCGGCCGCATGAGCTTGACTTGTAGTTTCACAGTCTCTGAACTCCTATGGTGCGGCTGCATGACATGATGGTGCGGTCCGCACCACGTTCTGAATGTCCTTACTTTAATGATCTTTGACACTTGAGCAGGTTTCACTCCGATTTGAGCCGATCTTTGACGATTTGTCACGTTATAGCTCAAACCTGCAATCAAGCACAATTTGTAAGCATTTTGGGACTATTTTGTAGCAAATTACACTCAAAGCGCAAGCAAGTATGGGTATAAAACATGTTAAAATCCTACTTATCAACTCCCCCAAACTTTAACCTTTGCTTGTCCTCAAGCAAACAAAACAAGACCCACCCCTCAAAGGCAACATCCAAGCAGTTTCAGCTTATCCTAAACTAACCTCAACAAGCATAAATTGGAACTAACAATTGCCCTCAATGAGAATGCATCATTAACACATTTAAACTTTGAAAATTTGTGGATCAAGTGTGACACAAAAGCATCAAGAGTTGACACATTTCATCAAAGAACTTTTCTCAATTACTTTGGCCATTGTGGAACCCAAACTCACACATCTTCAACTCTTCCTAAGTGAACCTCACCTTTTAAAGTATTGACACACAACCAAGTTTGATGGATTTTCACTCATCTCTCTCAAGGAAGAGGCCACAAGTCCGGCTCTAAGTACCATATGTTTGCCCCTTATGTAAGTATCCACTAATGTAGGTTCCCTTCAACTCAAAATCATGTAGGGCTTTTGTGGAGTCATTGTGAAGGCTTTTGGGTAAGGGTAGGACATATTTTTGTTCAAGTGGGTTCAATCTTCCCTTAAGCACTTCTTTTGATTCATTTTGGCACACTTTCTTGACTCATTTGAGTATTCACTTCTTTTTCAAGGGGTTAGAGAGACACATTGTCACTCTTTCTTATGCAATTCAACACATTTCTCCTTTTTCTACTTTTTCCACACCCTTTTTCACTTTTGTTTTCTTTGAATCCCCCTTTTGGCCTTATTCAATTAGGTCTTTCTTTTTGTCTTATCTTTTTTTTTCATTACCTTTCTTTTCTTTTTTGCTTTTGTACCTTTTACCACATTGTTTCCTTTCTTGTCTCCCCCCAAACTTAGATATTTGCCATCTACTCAAGGGAAGATTAGGGTGACAAGAGAGGGTATCATTAAGAACAGGTATAGGTTTGTAGCTTTGGTTCTTGAAAGAAGAAGGTTCAAGGCTCAAAAGGGTTAACTAGGGATCATTTCATTGGTAGGTCATGGAATTGTTCAATCTTAGCATTTTGGATCAAGGAGAGCCTACAATCACTTCTCAAGCCAAATTTCACCTAAGATTTCGCCTCAACAAACATTCGGGGCAAGTTCTAGACCATCGGCTCGGGACTTGGACTCGCAAATCGAATTCTCACCACACACACTCAAGGATTGCTAAAGATATCGAGTCGAGGGCCCACAACGACCTTAGTTATGATTCAAGCGCACAATGGTCCAATACGACCACATGATGACTGTTTGGTCAACACAAGAGTCTCAAGGCCACGACTTTCACCATC